GTGATACTGTTTTGGCAGGGTATGAACTAGGAGTGAAGGCACCCAGTAGCCCGTAGCCCAATAACCCGGTATGTCTACCAGTACTGTTCCTGACTAACCCCTTTCCTTGGTGCTGGTAAAACAAGGTGCTATTGCAATGACCTTTTTTTTTGCTGTAATATTCCGAGATCTACAAAATACATTATTGCACCCTTGAAAGTGCACTAAGGTGCAGCCCCTATAGCCTAGTATTTTCCCTGTCCATGTTTCTAGCAAGAGCAGTGCTTGTACAGGTAATGTGGTTTCCCCATTTGTCAATGCCTTATATCTATCATAATGTTCTAATATCTAAACTGCCCTGTCCTCAAGTACAATGTAATTGGCTAGCATTACACCCTGTTAATCCAGGTAATTTGCTTCTTGAACCAACATTGAACTCTGCAGCTTCAGTTTGTTGGTCTAAACCACCTAATTATTGTGGTGTAACAGAAGCAGTAAATCGGATAGCCTTTGCTATAATTTTAATCCTATCATTCCCTCTTGCTGCATGCTACAGTGACAGAAAATAGTCGTGTTTATCTGTGCTTACAGAGCTGCCAAATGCTCTGAGCAGCTCTGGGCCAGGTAACTCCATACTGGGCTTAGTGTAGGAATTCTGTTAATCCAAGCTTGCTTTTAAAGAAAAAAATAGAGCTTGTATTCTTGGCCAGTTTTGTATTGTGTTGTTTTGCTTGCAAAATTTGAAATTGGCAGCAGGAGGAATCAATCAGATGACTCCTAGTTCCCTTCCTAGGATAGTGCTTCAGTGCAATCTTTCCTGATATTTCAACACATCATGTTAGTCAGCCAAACTGCACTTTCCCTTGCTGCAGTCTAGACAGAAGGGTGATTGTGGTGTTCAATATGGCCTGAGAAATGTACCATGTGTCAGCTCTTGCACATCTTTACACCCTAGCTATGACTAATGACAGAAATAAATGATGGTATCCATAAGTGAGCAGCCTTATTTGTTTTTTTAATCTGTTCGATCACAGAACTACATCGGCATTTAAGCTCTTATTGCTATTTTTTTTTCCTGTGTACATATTTGTTTGGTGAATACAAAATGAGATTTCATGGTGATGCAAGCTTTGTACAGTACAGTAAATGCAGAAATTAATTAAATTAATTGATGGTATCATTGCACTAATCTTGCTAATCTTCACCTGTGCCTTACAGCTAAGATCTTTCACAGCTCAGTCTGCAGTAAGCAGAAGAACAGGTCTGGCCTTCTGTTCAGTTAAACAGCCAGATTGCACCTAGACATTAAGTGGCTGTGTCTTGGCAATTTAATTTTTTAAGTCTCTGGCAGTGAAATACTCTTGGGACTCTTGCAATCATGTAGGAAGAATGGCATTTTAAGGTTTGCAGAAGTACTTCATTGCATTTTTTGCCTTGCACTTATCATCCCAAAAGACCTTAAAGCACTTTATCCCCGTTCATTGACCGCTGAAGTGCAGCGCCCAGTTCTGTCATTAGTCATGCCGGGCCGTGCTCTGCCAGCAGCCCCATTACAAAGCGGAAGAGATGCAGAAGTGAGATGCTTCCTCACCAGCTAAACCGAGGGGAAATTCTAGGGAGACACGAGTGTCCCAGCTAATGTCCACTAGTTGACACCCTTACATCAGACAGTGCCCTAAGATCTTTAATGACCAAGTAGTTGGGACCTGGCTTCGTCTCATCCTAAAGGTGGTAGCACTTTTTGTTTCAGGTCAGTGTAGTTTCCCTGTGTCCCCCTGCCCTTTCCTCTCCCTTAAAGCACTGCTGACAGAAATTGCTGCAGTATGGTGAGGCTAAATCAGGCACAGTACTAGTTACAATTTACTTGTACTGCTTTAATGTCTCTGATGTAAGAAAATCCCCCCTGTGCACATTGATCTTCTCACAGCATTGCCTTGCTTTCTCCCTTAAACTGAGATTTCGGCATCGACCACACAACCTTTATTAAAAATAACAAGACAGGACAATAGTGTTCGAGGATTTATAGAACTAGGTTATATGTTAAGCTGCAGAGGTCAGTGAGAGTCCTTTAATTGAGTGCCCACATGAGAAATGTACCCAGACAATGAATTGCAATCCTCAGAGCTAAAGCAATAGTGCTGAGAAAGCTGTCGTAAAAAGTATTGGAGGCAAAGGTCTCAGCATGTCTATTACAGATATTTTTCCTTTTTGTTTTTCCAAAGGCAAAGAAATGTTCAGTACATTTAATTTGCATAGCAGTTCACACCAGGAAGCCATGAGTCATGTAATCCTTTTTTTACCGTTGTACAAAGCTTCATCTCTGCTTATCACACTGTATGCAGCTGTTATCAATTTCTTCAGAAATTAATTTTTGGAATCTTTTGTTTAACTTTTTGCGTCATCTTTTAAATCTTAGTGGAGGGTTTTTTAACCTCTTTAACCAGGCACATATAGCATTAATTAGCTTTAGGATCATCAAATAACTAGTAAGCCATTTGCAGTCTCACTTAAACATCCGTTAATTCACAGGAATTAACTGTGTTGTATTGGTGTTTTTCCACATCATGTGGTTTAATAATAAATAATTATTCCTTACACTTATATAGGGCTTTTCTGGACACTCCACTCAGAACACTTTACAGGTAATGGGGATCCCCTCCACCACCACCACCAATCTGCAGCCCCACCTGGATGATGTGACGGCTGCCAGAGTGTGCCAGTACACTCACCACACACCAGCTATTAGTGGGGAGGAGAACAGAGTGATGAAGCCAGTTAAGGGATGGGGATTATTAGGAGGCCATGATTGGTAAAGGGGGTACACCAGGGCAACACCCCTACTCTTTTCAAGTAGCACACTGGTATTTTTAATGACCACAGAGATTCAGGACCTTGGTCGTGTGTGTCATCCAAAGGATGGCACCTTTTTTACAGTATAGTGTCCCTGTCACTATTCTGGGGCATTAGGACCCACACTGACTGCAGGGTGAGCGCCCCCTACTGGCCCCTCTAATACCTTTTTCAGCAGCAGCCATTTTCCCAGGAGGTCTCCCATCCAGGTACTGACCAGGCTCACACTGCTGAGCTCCAGTGGGCTCCCAGCTGGGAGCTGCAGGGTGATAGGGCTGCTGGCTAAAATACCCTGTCCAATGTGTCTGCTTTAGAGATGGTTTTTGTTATGTTGGTCTATAACAAATGTATTTAACATGCAAATAGAGAAAGTTCTTGTTACAAGTTACTTGTTGAAACGATTACTTTCTTTAATAAAATGTTGGGTGAAATTTAGGAGATAACTTTATATACTAAGTGTACACTGCAAAGATAACAGTAATAGCTTAAAATTCTTACATTTCCCAATTGTTTTTGCTAATTTTAAAAACCCTTATAAATATATAAATCCCTTATACAAGTAACTGTTAACTGTAATAGACTTAAATGACTTAAAACCCTTTCCCCAGTATGGCTCTGTTGTGCCTCGTGTCCTGTTCTACGGGATTTGGCTCCGGCTTGCTCTGACCCTCATCCTCATAAGCAGTTTCCTTTTTGGGGGCGGTGTGGTGGCTCTGTGGCTCAGGATCTGCACCTGTGGCTAGAAGGTTGCTGGTTTGTATCCCGCGGCCGGCAGAGGAATCCTACTCCGTTGGGCCCCTGAGCAAGGCCCTTAACCCCAACTGCTCCTGGTGCGCCGTATAAATGGCTGACCCTGCGCTCTGACCCCAAGCTTCTCTCCCTGTCTGTGGGTCTCATGGAGAGCAAGATGAGGTATGCAAAAGACAAATTTTTAATACAATAAATTGTATATGGCCAATAAAGTGATCTTATCTGTCTTAAGGACGGGTGAAGTTTTTCCCCACAATATCTTTAGCAGCAAAATATTTTCCTGTTTTTGAAAGACTTCAAGCTATCATTTTATAGTGAAGGCAAATGCCACCTTCTCTACCCGCTGTACATAGTTGACGTAAGTTGTCTAAATATTCTCTTGCACTTTCTTTCAAATGTGTTTTTTGCAGATAAAGCAACTACTGAGCCTAATTCACTGTGCACAGAAACACAAGATCTTATCAATGTGTGCAGCTGGTGCTTATGTGTGCATTGCACTGGTGGAAGTCCAAGTAGGTGGACACTCGTTCCACCTTGACATCTGACTTTAAACATCTTTGTGTGCCTGTGCTGTAGAAAGTCTGAAAAGGCTGACAAATGCTAGCTGATCCGAAATTCAATGGGCATCTCGATGGGTAGATGGGTCAGAGGAGCCTGTCCGTGACTCGCTCTCCCCACGAAGGTAGTCGTCTTCAGGGTTAACCGAGATCATTCAGATCATCCAAACTGGGTCGATATACACTACAAAAATACTCCATTCCAAACATTTTAAAAGGCAGGCTACTTTCTGTTCGTCAGCTTCCACAAACATCTCCTCTCCCGTTCACTTACAGCTCTTATTACATAGAGCCATTGTGTGCTGGTTACAACATAATTACCACCTCTGGAGCTAATATTACTCCCTTTGTAGGATCGTTTGCACAGTATATTATGCTCAGACAAAAGAAGAGCTAATGGCAGAGCAGTGCATAAAGGGTAGTCTTAAAGTCAAGTTCAAAATATTGTACCGGCTACACAGAATCTGTTTGTCTCCTGCTGGGAGAAGCTTGCATTGATGCAACTCTGATTTAATCAGTGCTAGAAAAAAAACAACAACAAAAACTATGTGACCTGAAAGTTTGGAAAGATGGGTTTGTGATAAGGGTCATTTCGTCCAACATTGCATATTTTTAGGGCTGAGGTCTGGAAATTTGACGTTGCTAATATTTCCAGTTTCCTAATCTTTTCTAAACAACTGTTTTCTTTTTGTCTAGTGGCACTTTTAACCTAGATTATCTGTGATTGGGTTCTGTAGCAGCCTCCTTCGTTTTTCCTTGGGGAGAGGGAGTTCTGTGAGGAGCGAGCCATGCTGTGGCAGTTTGCCTGGCTTCTCCAGTCACCGGCGGTGGTTGTGCTGTAATAGTTATTGTTTCTCTCCCCAGATGCCATGGTTTTTTCTCCCTGGTGGTTGCCTGGGACAGGCGTTCTTCCAAACAGCCTGCGGTACAATGTCCAGGAGACATCAGGCCGGGGCTGCACTGAGTCTTCACTATCACCTTCCGACTAACTGGCGGGAGAGGAGCCGGACTGGGGAATGAACTCCAGATGGGACACCCATGGGATGATCGGAGAGTTGTTTCTCCGTCTCCTTTGGGGCACAAATCAAAATGGATTACTTGGAGTCTTAACAAACTTTCAGCCACTGTGGAGAAGGACTGATCCCATTGGGACAGATTTGGATCAAGTGGTACTAAAATCTTTGGGCAGGTTTCACTTTTAAGGCTATTACTGTTGGAAACAGCATGATCACAGACACAAAGCAGAACTTTTACATTCGTCATTTGACCTTAGAAGAACGTGATCCACAAACAAAACTCAACCAGTTACTCAGAGTACTTCCAAGTTGGCTTAAACTGTTTTGTTGCTTTTTTATTTTAAAAAGTATTTGGAGGAATAGAGTGACAACTATTTTTGTCAACACACATAATGTTGGCCAATACATGACACTGTAGGTGTACTGAAGAAAACTGCATGATTATCTTAGAAATAAAACAGACATCCATTGGTAGATATAATTAACAGGTTAGAGTAAAACTGCTTCCTGTTACAATGTACAGCATATTATGCAATCATAATTCATTATCTAAACTTCCAGAGTGGGGCTCAGGACTGCTGCAGCATCGCAGTTTCTGTGAGAGCTTTCCTCTGTCCCCAGTAATAGAACCTGTTTGAACAGGATGACTTGAAAGGTCAAAATCTGAGCACACTTTTAACATGTTGAATTGCTGTAACACACTAATCTGAAATTAACTTCTCTGTACATTTATATCAGATTCCTGATTCATGAAGCATTTCAGGTGATTGAAATTAATGAAAAAAGAACTTAAAAACGTCAACACTATGGTTATTGGTTTTGCTACCAGTTTTTTAGGATGAATTTTGCACTTTGAACTGATTGTTCTTTTGTAGGAGATTCGAAAGGGGCGATGAGGTTGTTGTGGTCCTGGATTTTATCTGAACTTTAACTGATGTAGTTTGAAGAATGACTTTGAAATTCAGTCCAGATAGTTTACATTTCAGTTTGTAATCCTTGCTAGTTCTTAAACTTCTCATAGTAGGTAATAGGACCTTGGGAGGGGCTTTGAATTTTGTTTTGAATACATTTTAAAGAGTCCTTTACACTATTTGACTTCAGAGGTGAAAATCTTGTTACATCCAGTCCATTTGTTTACAAAATAGAAATGCATTCTGAAATGTTATTGGCCACCATATCTGCTCCTGTGCCTGAAACTGATGGGAGTGTTTGTCATTTTATTCTCATGTGTCAAGGGCTTAAATAAACCAGTGACTTTCTGATAAAGCTAAAGATGGTGGTTCATTCTGTAGCCCTGGATTGATTCTGTAAATTAATTAAGGATCAGCTGCTTTATGTTTACATATCGGGTTAAACATTTATATAGTACCAAGTACAAAGGCAGAATTCCCTCTTTTTGTTTTAAGACATTACAACGGCGTACAGGTTTGAAGCTGAAAATGTCCCGTTACCAGTTTGTATTTACAGCACTACAGATTTTTTTTTTCCATCATGGACAGAAGCACAAGATAGAAGCAGCACAAAAGAGCTATTGCTATTATATGTGAGGAATTCATCTAGTCTTCCTTGGAGTTTCAGACCCAGTCTTCATAAGCAACCCTGCAATCCCTTACCAGTTAGCTATGTGCTTGAATCATACACCTGGAATAGGTGCATATTTACCAATCCTCATCTGCCAGAGCAGCCTGGTGGTTATCTGTGGTAAAGATGCTTCCTGCTCTACTTGAACTGAATTTGCACAATTCTCCTTTTAAACTCTGCCTTAGAGGGTACAAGACAAACAAAAGAAGCATATTTAAGCAATCACAAAAATATGCCTGGAGTTTATTGCCTTCTAACCCAAAAGATATCGCAATCACTGTGAGCTATTTTTAAAATGTCTGCTAGCTGTATCCCCTGCAGTGAAACTGAAGCTTTTTGGCAGACTGCCCATCTGGCATTACAGTAACTGTGGTGAATATTCCTCAACAGGATAGCACATCTATGGGGGAAAAAAGATATTGAACAACTATAAAAGGGAAAGGGATTGTAGACTTTCAAATACTTAGTCTATTCAGAGCTACTTAGTCATTTTGTGGAAGCTGTGGTAAGGCCACAGGAGCCATCGCTGTGCTTCCTATTGTATTGATCATCTTCTGTCCAATATCGTTTCCAAGCTCTGCCATTCATGACACTCAATACAGGAGAAAGGAAGGGAAGAAAAAATCTACTTCACGTGCAGTTTATTTCAATGCAAAAAAAAAAAATACTAATTGAGATAAAAGCATTTTGTTGACAGGAATGACTTTAGGGGATTTAGATTTTAACAACACAATCAGACAAGCAGGCGTTGATATCATTTATTGCATTGTATGTATATGAAGTCGATAAAAAACACAATACTGCTGTACAATTTGTATCAGGACCTTTGGTAATTCTTAATAAACATTTAAAGTGATCAAGTCCATGAGCTGGATTGTTAAATCGGGGCATCACATTATATCCAAACTGAAGTATGGCTTGCATCAAAGCTTAACTTTCCTAAATGAAACAACACAGTGTTGCGTAGAGTACACAGCTTCACACCGAGTCTTCAATCCTACAGTAAGTAACAGTGAGGCAGCCTCAGGGATGTTTGAAGGGACTCAGGACAAGGTAAGTTCCATTGTCAGTATTTTTCAGACGTTTCACTGGAATATAGTACACGGTGAAAATGTTGATTAAATCCAAGTCCGGCAATTTGGCAATAACCATTAATTTCCATTTGTAGTGTATGGTGAGTAGGTAATAAGACCTTGCCAACCTAAAACAGTAATTCACATTGCACCAATACTACGAGTTTGTTTTTTTTTAAAAAGGCTGACCAAGACTTCGGCAATCCTGTGGTTGTGCCATGCAGAATTATAGCACAGTGTCTGTGTCTGTAATTTGCTAAATTTGTTGCTATATGGAAAACAACAGCCTGCAATTTGCACATCATGTAATCATGTACACACAAGGTGCACCAAAACAAATAAAGCAAAAGGCAAACAAAACAGGGTTCAAACATAGACATTCTGTCTCCATCCAGCCACAACTCATGTCCGCTAGAGACATTTTAATTGACTGGGTGAACATTAATACAAGATTCTGCAATGTCTTTGTCTGGGCTACAGGGCCTGACACTTCTTTGTAATCCATCATGTGGCTGTGTGCCACATTTTCTTGAATATTTTCTCTGCCCTAATGAATTAGTCAACATTTTGCCCAGGTGTCTGTTCGGTCATTGCCCACCTTCAGCTGGGATTAAGGACGTTTTTTTTTTTGTAGAATTTGCACTGTTGTAGTGAAGATGTATTAGTGTATTTGGCACAGAGCAACAGTCACAAATATAGATAATAAAGAACATGAATCCTGCTACAGAGCCCCTTAGGGAAACACAAACAGTATGTACATTATTTTCCTATCACCAGTGAACAGAAAAGTGCAAACAGTGACACTACTGGCTGGCAGCCATTCAATACAGTAGTGGTCAAAAACAAACACTCCAAGCAGAGTCACAGCTGTTCCTGGCAGCAAAAAACAATCTTCCTCTCCTAGATAATAATAGTTGCATGTGTGTGTCCACATCCTCACACTACTAAGCTGGTCCAATTTCAGTTCATCTTCCTTCTTCCCAGTCCTGTGACTAATCTGCTGTGTGATGGCGCTGCGCCAGACGGTTGCAGATGAGGAGGAGAATGAAAGACAGCCAAGGACAAAGCCTGGCCCACAGCTCCCTTGGGCAGATGTGAGAGGTGAGCCCCAGGGCGGGATGGTGCTGGCCTGAGCCTGGTCTGCTTGTCTTGGCTGGTTACTCAAGGGCAAGTGTCACCCTGGCCGTGCAGCTTGCCTAGGACTGCTACACCACAGCCCCAGTGTTTTCAGAAATACTTGTCAGAGCTGCGAGGCCAGACACCATCTGAGCAGAACTTCCATCCTCCTGTCTTGACTGTTTAAACATAAATCTATTGGATTCATCAGATGAACATGGAATGCTCCTCCTTAAAACCAGAGGATGCTTGATTATCCTTAGTCCTTCTGAGCTGTGCTTACTGCAGCTGATACGGCGCGTTTGGTCGTACATGATGGGGAAAAAAAAGTTCTGAAAGATCTGCTATAAGCAGTACTCATTGGAGGCGATCAGTTGGGTAAAACTGAGCAGTGTTATAGGTTTATACTGAGTATGAAGGTCTAGGCCAGGAGTTTTTCTTTTTGTACTGAGTTAAGTGTGATTGCCTGGGATAAGGGAGGGGAAGAGGGAGCAGTATTATTCTGTTAAAGAGCGAGGTTAATGACCTCATCTCCATCTCTTCACATTGGCCAGGCAGCTGTTGTGTACAGACATTAATGCCCATTTGACACTGGATTTAGGTTGCAAAATGCATGACCAGTGTTTCTGTTTTGTCATGGAGTGCTGTATATGCAGGTTACATTCTGCCACTAAGCATGGCAGCTGTCTTGATTTTGCTGCAAAGAAGAAATACGGGAATCTAATTTTGAACAAGATGTTTGTAAATTTGCTCAATGTTTATTACTATATGACAGCTTCCTTTTCTGCAGAGAACAAAACGGGTCTTTAATTGTATTAGGAATACATTTTTGAATGTCTATTTTGGAGTTAGGGTGAGTTTAGCATTTTTAAACTAATATTTCAAGAAAGATTTGTTTCATCTCAGGTTATACCAGTGTAATATTTGACCCAGATTTTATGTTATCCTCCTGCCCAAGTGCATGCTGGATTTTGCTGATTTTGGTAATATCCTGGGCACAAATATAAACCGTTGTTGTGCATTGTGTACTAGACAGATGGAAATCGAAGGAGATGCATGTTATCCCTGTAGCACATTGTGAGAGTTTAACAGCTCAGTGTAAAATGTTCCTTTTTTTTTCAATGACAGAAATAGTGCTCCATTGTTCTAAATAAGTATATTGCTTGCTCTTAATCATCATTTAGTAAAAGTACCAATTATCTTATCCTTCACTGGCTATGTTTCTTTGTCCGTTTTTTGGTCTTTGTATTAATTTAAAAATGAATAACATACAGTATGTAATGAGCTACATAAGTGCTCAACCCCCATTTTCTCCCCATGCAGTGCATGATCACTTCCAGCTCACTCCAGCCAGCTTCTCGCCGACACGGCAGCAGGTGCAGACGTGACCCTTTTTTCAGCTAACAGCGACAGGGACCAGCATTCGCAGTGCCAGGGCTCCATGACTGACACTGCTCCATAGTTGGGTTCACAGAGTAGCTTATGTTAGAACTCAGTTCATTTTCCCTCAAGCTTTTAATTAATTTAGATGTGTTGTGCATCACATCTAAGTTAATGTCATAGTTAAGGTAACCTTTGTTGAAACTATACATTAATAGTGTTTAAATCTTAGTTGCACAAGTCCAGTCCCTGAGTGCCAGAACCCAGACGGTTTTCTAGGTCTCCTTAAATCATCAACAGCCGAAGCTCTTAGAAAAGTTTTGAAGTGGTCAAGATAAGCTCATGAACAAGTCATTATGGGCATTATGTTATTATGTGGGAGAAACCCCAGCTGATTCTGTTGCCCCCCAGACCTGGAATTGCAAATCACTGGTTTACTAGTGTGTAACACTAGCCCTGGACCTGGTTATTTTCTCTCTATATAAAACTCGATGCAGTACGATGACTTAACGCCCAGACCAGGAAACACCCTTCAGCACTCGTGCAGCAGGGAGCACTGGGGTTGTTAGGCTTCATTTTCCTTGGGCAGCTCTCAGACATGTTACAAAACAGTTCTAATACTTATCAAAAGTTATGAAATTCCTTTAATGGGTCCTTAACAAAACAAACAAAAGAAATAATACAACTTCAGTCTTTCTCCAAGGAAGCTTTCGGCAGTATCTCTATCATGCGCCTGCAAAATAGTTACTGTGACACGTGCAGTATGAGGGTAAAGAATGACCACAGATACCAGATTTAACCACATATCGTGTAAGATTCTGAAGCACAGTGTATTTGCCCATTTCAGTTTAATCAATCTAAAATGTACCATTTAATAAATGTAAAAATGTAACAGTATGGCAGATGGTTTAATACCTCTTGCCAAGGAACACTGAATGACTGAATCTCTGTGTGCGGGAGGCTGGTTGTTTTAATGTCAGATGTACAGTGTGCGTAAAGCTATCGCTTATTAAGCTAAATGTCTCAAAAGGTGTTTTGTTGTAGTCCACTGCTGCATGCAGAAAAGATCTCACTCTTGCAGACATTAGCATGTGCTTGGTCTGCTCATATGAAAACCCAGAAAGTCCAAATCAAGCTTAAGTTCAGTCAGCTGTGGAACCAGCCTTTTCTCTTGTCTGCTGCACTAGTCAGTGTTCATCCTGTGAACTGGAAGCTAGCTGCAGTCAGGCTTAACAGAGTAACCTCCTCAAAATGGACTATTTGCTTTTCACCCAGTTTGGAAATTGCCAGTTGTGTAGTGATGTCTCACGGTCTGTAGGCTGTATCCACCCAGGGAGGCTGAGGAGCTGCAGTGTCTGTCCATTGAGCTCTTCATCTTGGACGTGTCGAGCTCTGCAGAGCTGACTGCAGGAGAAAAATGTCTTCCTGTGATACTGCCACAGGCTAGCAAGGGGCCTCGAAAGTCCCACAGGGCACTGTTTTCCAGGAGCCAAGAGAAAGACACTACTGATTAATCCCAGTGTGAGTCAGCTTTGCACAGCTTCTCATGGGATAGGGCTCTTCTCCCAGCTTTGCAAATGAGAAAATTCAACATTAAGGAACAAAAAATAACCTTTTATACACATTAAATTTCAAAAGTAAATTTCAGAAATGTTCCTTAAAAGCAACAAAGCCATGCAGATGTCTCCCTATCACTCTGAACATGTTCGCAAGTGTGGAACAGAAGTCCTCACTTAAGGTTTTGCCCCAGTCAACTGCACCTTTAAACTTGGAAGAGGAATAAAGCTGCAACTCTATCTAGAGTGATGAGAGGAAGTATGTTGTGTTTTCTCATCAGCCTAGGTAAGAACATGAAGCATACTTCTGGGAAGGTGGAACTTCCTTCCAGTGTAAAGACAAGCGAAGAGTGGCTTGCATTCAGTGCAAATCTATTAAATGCTCAACACCAGGCATGGCTGCCTTGCTTAAGAGGAACCCTGCCAATAACTGTAATCTGACCTCAGAAAAAACTTGAACTTGAACAAAGAATCATTACTCTGCTTAATGCTAATGGCCTCCCCTTTGCTCTGTTTAATTTTCACATGTGACTCCATGCCCATTTCTAATAATTGCCTCTTGAGTGTAACTGCTGACTGTTCACATGTCTTTAATTTGGTAATGGGTATTTTTTACAGCTCTGACCCATGGCTCCATGGTTTTGTGTGTATGTGTGTGATGGAAACTCAAACGTCCAAATATTGTATCTACAAAGAACTCTTATTACATGCTCAGTGAAGCCATTAATCAG